TGGAACAGTTTTCCGGTCGCTCTGATCAGGTGTGCTTCATCACGATTTCTGCCACAGTTTGTGCTTTATAATGGGTTGATTTTTTTCTCAATTTGACTACTGAAAATCGTACCAGGGTTTGGTTCAAAATTTCGTTTGTGTCATCAGGACCTTCAGTTTACAATGGAAGTCCCATTTTGTTACCGTGAAATTCATAACACTATTTTGTGTATGCGGAGATGAGCGTAACAGACTGAATGGAGAATGTGTTTGTGTGTTTGTGGACCGCACACGCTGACGAACTGTTGATTGCAATCAACACGGTATTGACTCGGTCTCCATGCCTCACTTTGAGATGCAAAAAGGTGTCGACAGAGGCACAGAACGACTAGGTACAGTAAGTGTCTCTCGTCTTCTGGGTTGGATGGGGTTCAGAAGACTTCGCTACCCGATGGTTGGAGACATTAAGGGTCATGACTGCGAATCGACAGCAATGGCGATCTTGCTGTCATTTCTTATCAGACCAGAATGCTTGAAATAGTATGTATGCACAGTTGGACCACGTACTCTGTGTGTCAACCTGAGAGGTTCGCTTTATTTTTCCGTCCCTAAAAATAAGTATAATCCCTATCCTCACATTCTCACTTACCTTGATTTTGGCAACGATCAGTGAAGCTCGATTCACTGTATTATGCTGTACAGTGATGATAATGATGTCGACAAAGACGATTCTCCTATGCATGCGCATCGCAGACCTGCTGTAGTTGAAACGAAACTCGATTCTGATGCTTAACGGGTTTTCGGTTGCCAGATGGAACCTAGGATTGTTCGTGAAGAGAAGGTCGGGTAAATGATAAATCAAACATGAAAGCAGTACTCATTTCACTCTAATGCTTGCTACTAATCTTCAGAATAAATGCTCAATAATGAGAGGCTCTCAATCCTGACTGAATGCATGCTTGGCTTGCTTGGTGGTCCGGATCGGAACGAGTCGATTTCGGGAGTCATGAGTGTAGTGGTGGTGGCGCGGTGGTTTATTTGCTGTCACCGGTGTTCTTTGGACCTTATGGTCCGAGGTTCGAGCCCCGTCACCACCACCCAGCTTTGGTGGTAGAACGGTGTGTTGTCGTCCGGTTCAATACCACATCAACCAGTCGGGGCTTTATGTGGTTCGCCACTCCAGGTCCCAGGACTTCGGCTACCGGTTTCCATCACGGAGCAGTAGTCCTCGTGACTATGGAGTTCACCCCGTTAGCTGTTCATTGCACAGGTGTGAGGAATAAAAAGCAAACTCGATTTAGCTGTGCAGTGCATTTTTTGTACTTATGGTGTTCAGTGATCTTACTCACCTCGTCACAAACCCCTTCCCCATGTTCGTTTGTAACAAATCTCTTCACTGGGGTAAATTAGCTTTGGAGGAAAATGAGCGGTGTTATTCGTAGTATTAGCCTAGAAAATACGTGGCGCTTATCTGTTCACTATAATGCTGATACATGTTGTTGGTGAGGGATGTAACATCTCTGGTTACTTGTTTCATCATCCACCTATGTTATGATTTTCTGCTTGTTCTTTGTTCGATCCTTGGAAAAATGGCGTTCATTCTTTGCGATTAATCCGAAATGGGTGCATCCGTATATCTCTGTTCGTTTCGATCGCCCTCCGAAAAGAACTTACTAGATCATACCCAATTATTTTGTTACAACTTTTTCCAGCTTGCAATGCTCCCCGTT